CCGGGAGGAGGAGGGAACCGGGAGCAAGGAGCGGGGTGCACACAGAGACGGGGAGACACCGGGAGCAGAAAAAAGACACAAATCAGAGAGACACGGCGGTGGGAAGACAGAGACAGGGAGACGAGATACAGCGAGAGATGCACGAAGGGGAGATGGAGGGAGGGAGAGGTGCAGAGATCGGAGGAAGAGTGGGGAGACAGAGGCGGGGAGACAGAGAGACAAGGTAGGGATGGGGAGGATCACGAGACAGGACAGACGGGAAACAGACCCACAGAGATGGGATCAAAATGGGAGCAGAGAGAGAGCGAGCGAGAGTGAGCCAGGGAGATGGGAAGAAAGATGCAAACCATGGAGAGATGGTCCCGGAGAGAGCGCGACAGAAATAAGGAGAGAGATGGAAGGTCAGGGACAGAGGGGCTCAGAGGGCGAGGCAGGGAGATGAGGTGGGGAGATAAGACGGAGTGAGAAATGGGGAGGGAATAGTAGGGAGCCAAGGAGAGAGGCAGGGATGGATGGATGGATGAAGGAAGGCAGGAGAGACGAGACGAGAGAGAGGAGAAAGTTGGACAGAGCGAGGAAGACGGGAGAAGACACGGAGGAAGACAGAGACCCCACAGCCACCAAGGGACGAGCACCCACAAGTGATGGAGAACCAGGCAGGGCCAGAGATGGAGGGAGGAGGCGGGCAGAGCAGACAGAAAACAGGAAGACAGAAATAGCGAGGCAAGGCCGAGATCAAGACCCCCGCCAGGGAGGTGCCCGGCACAGACATGAAAGGCAAGGCGAGTGGCAGAGGGATCAAAAATAAAAGGAAGACAAAGATGAGACAGGGAAAGGGGGTCAGGTGTGTGGGGGGAAGAGAAAGAGAAAAAAAATTAGTGGGGCATCCTAAGGAGAGACTGCCCCCTGACCTCGCCCCTCACCCAGCCCCGCAGCCCCCAGCCCACAATTGTCCCCTTTATCCTGCCCCTGTCCCCCCACCCCCCATCCTCAGAGCTAGACAGAATCATGGCCCAGGGTGGCGGAGGGGTTGGGGGGGCACAGCTGTGGAGAGCTGGGGGACAGGGGGTCCCTGGCTCCCAGCCCAGAGCAATTTTGTAAATGAGAGGAAATAGAGCTTTTCTGCCCGTGGTGTCCCCTGTTGAATGCTAGCTGCCTGGGGTGGGCGGGCTAGGAGCCCAGACTCCTGGCTTCTGGGTCCGAGGGAGGCGGGCATCGGGGGGCCTGGACCCCTGGTTCCCAGAGAAGAATGACAGCCCGCACTAGGGGCTTCCTGCAGGGGTGAGGGTCCAGACAGGGGAGGGTTCTATCTTGGCTGTCAATCAGGCTCCTGTCCGGTTGCCATGGTAGCACAGGCCTGTCTACCCCACTGATAGCTGGAGTGGGGGAGAGGCCCAGAGCCCCCTCCCCTGCCCAGAGGCCCCCCACCCCCACCTCACCCAGCTTCCCAGAGATCCTGGGCCACTGTCCTCCCAGGAAAGGGGGGGGTGGGGGCTCCTAGCATGCCTGTCCCTCCCAAATCCTCGCTCCCCATGTCCCTCCTCTCCTCTGCCCTTCCCCGAGCAGCTGGCTCAATCAGTGCTCAGAATAGCGTCCCCCCACCCCAAAATAACCCACAGCTGTGGCCTGGCCCCCGCGGGGTTAACACTTCGCTCTCCTCCATTCCTGGTGGCTGCTCACCCCTCAGCGCCTCCTCTGCCTCTCAGACCTACCCTGCCCCCCCTGGCCTCTGCCCTCCGGGTCCCCAGGGTCCTGCTCCCCGCTGAGGCCCAGGAGGGCAGCTCCAGCCCCGCCCTTCTGAGGAGCCTGGATGCTCAGTCCGCTCCCCCGTGGGTTCAGAGGGCAGTCCCCCACCCTGGGGACCGAGAAGCGGTGTCCCCAGGCTCAGGGGACTCTGGAGGCCCAGTCCCCAGAAGCTGCACCCCCAGGGGCCCCCAGTCTCCACCTCCTCAGGCCCCACTCCCATCCCCACGGGGCCAAAGAGAGCCCTGCCCACAGCCCTGTGAGGGACGGGGGAGACTGAGCCAGCCCCCTCCTCCCTCAGACAAGAAGCCCTCCCCTCCAACTTCTCCAACAGGCTCCGGAGTCCCGGCCTGGGCTCCCTCCTGCCAGCACCCAGGAGTGTGGGTGCTCAGCCCCGTCCATTCCCAGGACCCAAGAGGCCTGGCTCCCTCCGGCCTGGCCTCAGGGGTCCAGGTGCCCAGCCTCCTCCGTGCCCAGGAACCAGGCGTCCAGGCCCAGAGCCCTCTCCTGCTTCAAGGACCCCCTTTTGTCTCAAATCCTATCAGTCCCCACACCCCGGGCACCCCCAGCTCCAGGCTCCCCAGTTGCCCAACTCGTCCTGTATACAGCAGAGCCAGACCCCCAGCCGAGGAGGAGGAGGGTGCCAGAGATTCCTGGGGCGCCCCTACTCCCATCACCCCCCCCTCCCCAAAATCCATCACAGAAGACAGGAGAGGCCACTTGGATCAACAGCCCGCCCTCCCCTCGCGTCGTGCTGCAGACGGCTTGCCTTCCCGTTCCCGCACCTACAGCACCCTCCTCTCCCCTCCCCAGCCCCGGTGCCCAGAGGCTGGGAGGGTCCTCTGGAACCCTGAGGGAGGGGTGGCAGCCTGGGGCGAGGGGTGCCGGGCTGGACGCCCTCAAGGTCCTTGGCAGGGGTATTAATAGCAGACTCATAGCTCAGAGAAGGGAGGGGAGAGCGGGCAGAGAGAGGGAGAGGGCCAGGCCGGCGAGGGGGGAGAGTGATGCGGAAGGAAAGTGCAGAGGGAAGGGGAGATGGGGAGATGGGGAGACGGGGGACAGCATCTGGGGTGTCAGGTAGGTGGGGCTGGGGAGGGGGAGCGAAGTGTCAGAGAAATGAGGGGGGGTTAGGAAGTCTGAGGGGTAGCGACCAGGGAAAAGGGACTCAGAGAGGACAGAGGAGAGTCCCCCAGGGACAAGGGATCTGGGGGTGGGGGGTGGGGGGCAAAGACCACTATGCAACCCCCTCCTTCTCTGAGGCCCGGGGCCAACTTTCCCTGCCCTAGATCTGGGGGTCCCCGTCCCCACCCCCACCCCTGCTGCATC